CGGATACATTGAGTAAAATGTCTCAGAAAAGATCCCTTAACCCAGCTATAAAGCAGTCTATTTATGTTTTTTCATATTTTCTGTAATAAACAACTTTTTCGAGAAAAAAATTTTTGTCCGGATTTAAGTGGCGGACCCTGTATATATGTTATGGTTAAAGTTCGAAGTGTGGGCGCTCTTAGGATTGACTGATCAATGCGCGGAACATGTCAAAACCGAATGGACATTTGAGTTGAGACGTATAAAATATTTTGTTTGTATCACACATCGCACATTATCGTATTGCACACGTCTGGACGAAGGACCAGCGGAGCCCCTCTCCTGCACTCTTTCCCTACAGAAACTTTTTTTTTACGAGAGGAAATGCTTTATGCATTTCCCATCTCCTAGAAGGTAGATAAGGATATGTGGGACTCCCTCTGAAAGAGGTTTTTTTACCCACTAAAACCTCTCGGTAGCCTAACGTCTAGGAGAAGGTCCCGGTATGCCTGGAAAAGGACGCAATTCGGTGTCGTCACCACCATTACGAGTGACTACCTCCACTCAGCACGGAGCATGTGCTCCTCACCCGTGGCGAGAGAGATGCCACATCTCACTCTCGCCAGGGTATGAAGGACCACGTGCAATAGGGAATATAAGTCCCCGCCCGCATCTCCTGTGTAGTTTAGTGTCAAACTCTCCAAAGGAAAAGACGCTTCTCCCAGAATTCCGCGGCGGCCTAAAAGGGGCCGATCCCCTTCCCCTCATCGAATTAAAGAGAAAAATTTTATTTCTCCGGAGGCAAGCCTCTACGGAGGGAGTGGAAGAGCCTCCTCTAACAGCCGCGGAAGGTAAGACTTTCCCCCCATTAGTACTCTCCTGATTCCACTCCAACATCCCGTCAGCCCAGCAACTGCCGGAAATGCGAGGCGCAGAGTCATCGGAGGAGAAGGAATCCTACTTGACTTTCTTTTCTACGACTGTCATGGGCCTCTTTTGCGCGCTTTGCGCTTTGGCAGGGGCATCTGGTCTGCCTTCCGGCCTGAGGCAGAGTTTCCGCAGAAACCTAACTTTTTTTTTTTTACATGAGGGAAATCCATTACAGATACCCCGGCCCCCGAGGGAAGGGACCGGGGTTATGTGGGACACTTCTCCCTGGCCCTCGAGTCAGGGAGAATATACCTACTAAAACCCTTATGGTGTGCCTTCTCGCTTGTCGTAGAGAGGGCCCAGTACCCCTGTGTTAGGACAAAGCCTTGATCCTCCCTCGAGCACACTTTTCGTAGGAAAAGGGCCGTTGTCCTCCTCCCTGCATTACCATTAACTTAGCGGCGCCGCGGGACACACGCCACCGCGCCGCTCCTTCACTGGGGCCGCGTGCAGTGATGAGTCAGGGCCTCCACCCCGACTCGTCGCGACTCCCGCAGCAGATATTTTCCTCCCCGGGTGACGAGTTCACCCGGAGAGGCTGCTGCGTACCATCTCGTACCCGAAATGTGCCCCGCCGGGGCGACGGGCTAACGAGGGAGCCGGCTCCCCCAACACCCGCCGCCCCAGCTCCCCCCGCAGTTGGAATTGGCAGGGAGGGGTCTACTGTCAAGTAGGGACTCTAAGACCCCGAGGACGCGTGCGGGAAGCGGGGGCAATCTTGCACCCCGCTCGCACGTGGCCCCGGGGTCCCGCTGCAGGGAGAGGGGCTCTCTCTCTCTCTTCCTTTCTGCGGCCTTCTTCCGCTCCAAGACCTCGGAGCAGAACGAGACCACAGCGCCGCACATGTCCTCATCCCCGGAGGCCAATGCTCTGAGCAAATCCTTCAGGGAGAGGTTCGCACCTATCTTGGCGACCAGTTCTCGGCGCTTACTGGACCACTCGGGGCACTCCTCCACCGTGTGGTCCATCGAGTCACTGGCCGCCCCGCACGCGTAACACTGTGTCGTCGGCTCCTTGTTTATGCGACACAGGTACTCACCAAAGCAGCCATGCCCAGTGAGCACCTGCGTCACATGGTAAGTGAGGCGTCCGACTCCTCTCTCCAACCACGCCCGAAGGTGAGGTCGGACGACCCGGACAACTTCCTGGGCTTAAACACGTGGCTCACCCAGGAGCTTTTCCCAACGTTGGAGGAGTTGTTGATGGGCCTGGCGCTCCGAGTTGACAAGGACCTCCCGTAGGGCACCTCCCTCCACGCCCTTCTGCAACAGCTCGAGCCGAGTACAGTTGTGCAAGGAGGGCTAAGGGAGATATCCCCGCCAGCACTCCCGCCGTTTCCCCGGCCACCGTGCGGAAGCCGCGGATTACGCGGAAGGCTACTCTTCTCTGGGCCGCGCGGAGCAAACCAAACTTGCTCCTCGCGCCCGCTCCCGCCGCGACCTCCGCCCACAGCGGCGACCCATACAGGGCCACTGCGTGGACCACGTTTGTAAAGAGACGGCGGACCTTCTCACGCGGGCTCCCGAGGTTCGGAAGGAGTCTCGCCAAGGAGTTGGCGACTCCTCCGACCCTAGGGGCCAAACGAGCAAAGTGCTCGTCGAAGCGCCACTTCGGATCGAGGTGAAGACCGAGGTACTTGAAAGTTGTACCTACCTCGACCCGTGCCTCACCTACCCTGAGGCTGAGTTTCGGCATTCGTCTCTTCGGGAGGTCATGGAACCACATGGCCTCCGTCTTGTGGACGGCCACCTTTAAACCCAGCCTCCTTTTTTTTAAGAGAGAAAATGCCCGCGCACACCCTGACCTCTTGAGGAAGGCCAGTGTAGTGTGGGACTCAAACCCACTTAAACCCCTCTATGGTCCTCAGGCACGTAAAGAGAGAGACCCTGGAAAGCCAAATTACATCCCGACTCTCCCTCCCGTGCAAAAGTGGCAGACTGCCACTACTTCCAATACTTTGGTGAGAGGATGGGACCACCACATCCCCTCGCCACTTCCGGTGAGACCACGTGCAATGGCCGAGAGGAACTCCTCCCTTCCTGCGGTCCCCACCCGCGTTTTTCCTAGACATGTTCCCCGCACAGAGAGACATTCCCGGGAGGGGAGCTGAGTACTCCTTAACTCTCGTCTCCAGAAGGAGAGGGTTGCCGTCCTCTCTTTCTTCTGCTCCGATCTCCTCGCACCGGCTGTCCTTGCCGGGCCCTCTCCACGTCCTCTTTGACGGACATTACGGTCTCTGCAAATGCCTTCACTGCCCGCCATTTCGCCCTGTTCTGTACCATGTTCCTTGCCACTGCCGGCAAGGACAGGTCGTTTCCAATCACCTCCCGTAGGGAGTCTCTTTCCGCGTCCCACCTTGGACACTCGGCCAGCGTGTGCTGGGCCGAATCTACTGCAGTTTTGCAATGTTCGCACACTGGGGAGGTGACCCTCCCTATTCTGAAAAGAAAATCTCCAAACACCCCATGCCCGGAGAAAATCTGGCTGAGGTGGAAGGTCAGCTCTCCGTGTGGCCTGTCCAGCAACTGGTCCAGAATGGGCCGTATGGCACCGAGGATCCTTTGGCCCCACTGTGAGCGATCAAGTCGCTCCTTCCAGCGCCGGATCATCTCCCGTCGCGCATGAAAGGCACTACCGTCCCTTGGGCCCTAAGTTCCCGGAACCTCCGAAACACTTCCGCCTGCTGCTTGGCAATCAGCTCCGCCGGGGGCACTCGGGCCAGCACCCGGACCGCTTCCACCGCCACTGTTTGGTACGCTCTCACAGTGCGTGAGGCAACCATACGCTGCACCCCGACAAACGGGGCTGCAGCTCGGTCCCCCAGCTCGTCGTGCCACACCGGGGCGCCGTACATAAGTACGGAGTGCACGACGGCTGAGTAAAGCTTCCGCACGTGCTCGCACGGGCCCCCGAAATTTGGGAGCAGTCTCCCAAGCGCCGCCGCCATCCTCCGGGCTTTCTCGGCGGCGTACAGGAAATGGGTCTTAAAAGACCACCGCCCATCCAGCATAAGACCCAGGTATCTCACGCTGGGCTGCGTCGCCACGCGGGCCTCTCCCACCGTGACCTCCACAGGTCCACCTGTCCGCCCCGGAGGACGGAACACTAACGCCTCCGTTTTTTGCGCCGCCAGTGAGAGTCCCAATGTTGCGAGAAACTGCGACATCCTCGCGACTGACTCGCTGGCTCTGAGCCTCCCTGCCGTCCTTGCCCGCCGACAGCACCAACGTGTCGTCGGCGTAGCAGACTACGCTGCTCAGTGGCGGCAGCTCGATACCCAGGACCGCGTCGTAGCAAATGTCCCACAGCAGAGGTTCCAGGACAGAGCCCTGGGAGACCCCGCAGGTCTCTGTGGGACCGGACCTCCCCGTCTCGGCACGGGTACATGACGTACCGGTCCGAGAGATAGCTATCCAGGACAGCTCGCAGGTAGGTCGGAACGTCCCAACCCCGCAAGGCTGCCCGGATGCTAGGCCACGACAGCGTGTTAAACGCGTTCCGGATATCGAGGCTGACCGCCACGCATACCCGTCCCCGCGAGGTGTGGCCCCCGACGATCTCCTGCACGCGCAAGATTGCGTCGCACGTGGAGAGCGCCGGTCAGAAGCCAAACTGTCGGGGTGATAGACCCCCCCCCCCATCCCTGAGACAGGCCTCCAGCCTAGTCGCCAGGATCCGCTCGAAGAGCTTACCCACCTCGTCTAACAGGCACAACGGTCTAAACGACGAAAGGGCGCTTCCCGAGCGGCCGGTCCTTCGGGACCAGCACCAAGCGCGCCTGCTTCCAGACGCGCGGGAAACGTCCCTCCTGCAGGCACCGGGTAAAACAGCGCGCAAGGCGCCTTGGTGCCAGCGCAGCCACACGCGTCCAGATCGCGCACGTCAGCCCGTCCATGCCGGAGGCCTTTTTTCTTTCAGCGATGCGACGCATTACACTTCGGAGCTCTTCCGCAGTCACGGCAAATTCCGGATTCCATGGGGCGAGCCCTTGTACTTTGAGGGTCTCTTCATCTCGCTGTGAGAATAGTGTTTCCACTATTTCCCGCACTACCCCCACTTCCAGTGACTCCGTCACTGCCGGACCGGCTGGTCTTAGCCGGTTCAATACGATCCGGTACGGCCTGCCCCATGGATCTTTGTCCAAGGTCTGCGTGAGTTCGTCCCACGCAGATCTCTTCGCCGTGGTGATAGCGCCGCGGAGGCTCCTTTGTGCCTGACGGAACTCTCGCCGAGCCACCTCCGCCTCTTCCGGGGTGCGTCTCACGCGCGCCCTTGTGTACCTCCGCCGGCGGAAGATGCACTCCTTACGGAAAGCGGCAATCTTTGCCGACCACCAGTACATCTGCCGGCGGGGCACGCTCTTCTTTGCCCTCGGCATGAACAGATCGCACGCATCCACCGCTGTGCGTGTGACCCATTCGGCCTCCTCTTCAGCGGACCACCCTGTGTCTTCAGGGTTGCCCCACGCAGCACCTAGTACTGCCGCCGTGAAGAGGTCATGGTCCCACTCTTCCATCCGCCAGCGTGGGAAGCGAGGCACGCTGAGGTCCGCGACCTTCTGCTGTCGCTGCACACGCAGTGCCACATATCTGTGGTCTGAGAGGGACTCCTCTCCCTCCCAGGTTTCCCACTCGCGCACAAGCGGGACCGCCGCAGTTGACGCATATCGACAATGGAGCTGCCCTGGGGACGGACGCAGGTCCACTCGGCTCCCACATTTAAGATGTGGAGACCAGTCTCCGCCGCCCAGGACTTTACCGCCTCACCCCTTGCGTTGGTCACCCGGGAGCCCCACTTGGTAGACCATGCGTTGAAGTCCCCCAGAACTAGATGGGCTCTACCGCCCACGCGTCTAACACTGTCCCGGAGAAGGTCCAAGAACCTTTCAAGGTCCTCCCTGCGGTTGGGGGAGAAGTAACAGCTAAACACCGCTAATTCCCCCCACCGCACAGCCACAAAACCGTGGCCTCGGTCTAGTATCTCCGAGACAGTGCGTCTAGCCTGGGGGGACCAGACCACCGCCGCCACACCGTCCAAATCGCTGATCCAGCAGGGCGAGTCCGGGACCCAGCAGGACTCCGAAACCGCGACTAGCCCCGCCTGCCGCTCCCTCATGATCTGCCGAAGCAAGTCCTGTGCCGGACCACAATAGTTCAGATTAATCTGAAAGACCAGGTCCATTGTGGTCCGTCTCCATTGCCTCCGGTTCCTCGGTCCTCCGCACCAGGGGTTGTTTCGCGCCATTGCGGCCTTTCAACCTCGAGGGACACTCGTTACTTCCGGCTCTGTGTCCGGAATTTAAACTCCGGGACGCGCATAAGACGCAGTGAGCCTTGCCCCCACAGTTATGGGCCATGTGCCTTCCCTCGCCGCAACGATAGCACGCCTGGGTTCGGTCTATATCGTTGCGACAGACCGCCCGGACGTGCCCAAACTCCAGGCACTTGTAACACTGGAGCTGCAGGGTGGGGAGGAGGGCAACACGGGCTGAGGACCATCCTACCCTCAGCCGGCCCACCTCCGCTGCCTTCTCCGCTACATCGGCCGGGCACCTAAGCCAGGCCACCCCCATTCTATCCCGGCCTTCCTTTATTGGGCCCAGGCTGATGTCCTCTGCTCGGCTAAGCCCAAACTCTCCAGCGGAGAGAGCCGCCACAATGTCCCCTGGTTCCACGGACTCATCGAGCCCAGTCAGCCGGACTTCGGCCTTCCGCACAGGGCGGGTAACCACGGCCACGCCCTGAAGGACCGGAGCAAGCGCCTCCACCAATCGGGTCGCCTTCGCCTCTTCTTCTGGACCCGGTATCTCCACTAGGATCCCTCCCCCGATGTCCCGGCGCATACGGGTATCCGCAATCCCCAGCTCCTGGAGAGAGACCCTGGCCCGCGCAGTGCGGATGATGTCCGCGTATGACACCGGGCTCTCTTGCCCCGGTAGGCGGTGGATCGCCACCGCCGCCGCCCGGCGAGGTTTGCGCCTCTTCTTCCTTGCCCTGCCCAGGGGCTGGTTATTTGGCTCCCGTTGGGGGAGATCCTGTCTCCTCTCTTGGGTCCGGGCTGGTCGTACCACCGTCTCCCTCGTTTGCGGGGCACGACGGCCCCGCTTAGCGACCTCGACCTAGGACTCGCTCGAAGTCCGCGGATCGGGACAGCGAGGAGGCTGCGCTGCAGGTCGCTCCTTATCGCCCTGAGCTGGGCCAGATAATGCCCCGTTCATTAGCTCCACGACCCACTCCTCAAGCTCTCTCCTACTCTTTTGAAGCAGCTCCGTGACTTGTCTCTTGATCACGGTGGCTGCATCCTCTTCTACAAAGACCGGTCTTGCAGGGCCGCCTCCTGGGGGTTCTCTCAGTTCTCTCTTGCGGCCTCCCACAGACGGGAGGCTAACAGGGGGTGTCACCACCTTTACCACGGGGCTTTTACCCCCTGGGATCGTGTGCATCGTGCGCACAACCGGGATGGACGCTTGCACGGCCACACCCTTGCCGAACTGGAGCTCCCTCCGCCATCTCGTCCATACGCCGCCTGAGCTCTATCATTTCCGCCTGAAACAGACTGTTCGCTTGACGCAAACGGTTTGCTTCCCTTTCCGCTGCTGCCACGCGTTCCGCCAGATACCCCGCATCTCCCCGCTCCCGTACGCGTGCCGCCAAGGCCTTCGTCTCTCTCTTAAGCTGGATGAAGGCCCGTTTCATACCCCCTGACACCGTGCCCTTAAGCCTGAAGGACTTCTTCCGGAGGGTGTCCACGTGGGCCAGCCGGCAGTGGATTACTTCTAGCGAAACAGGGATCGCAGCATCAACGTCAACGCTCGGTCCCTGCTCTACATCTGACTCCGGTGGCGACGTCTCGTACTCGTCGTCCTGGGTATTAGATGGACGACTTCTCTTCATTCCTCGGCCGCCGCCCTTGCCCTTAAGGACAGAGTTTTTAAAGAAGGCGCGGATTACGTTCCGCAGCTGGGACATAGAGGGTATCTCGCCCTCCACACCTTCTATCGCCTCTTGTTCGGAGTGGTCGTCCCCCTCCGAGGAAATCACCAGCGTGTCTAGCACACGTTCGCCAAATAAATTGCCAATGGGCCTGGGAGTAGAAGTCAGGTCCACCACGCCTCACTGTGACCCCGCTAAGCCCAGTGATGTGCTGTTGTGGGAATAAAGTTGCGTCTGCGCAATAGACAAATGCAATGAATTCTCACTAACGTATATACTTCGGTCAAATATGAGGTATCATTAGATCCCAGTGAAAAAAGAAATGTGAAAAAAATTGCAGAGAGAAAACAAATTTTGATTAAAGAAATAAAATACATTTAATATAAATGATAATAGGAAAATTGGAAATAGGAAAATTCATTTGTTATTTTTTACGTCTGCAGCCGATTTATTACATGAATGAA